ATATATATATATATATATATATATATATATATATATATATATATATATATATATTTTTAATAACCATCCAAGACATGCGTGGAATAAATCGAGAATAAATTCAATTTTTCTTGGAGTTTGAAAAAAAAGTCTTTTGATTTAATTGAAGTAGTATGAAACGTCTCATCGAGTAAGATTACACTTCACCCCGTGAAATAAAAATAACCATTGAAATAATTCCCAGCAATTGATATATAAATCCAATCGGAGACTCACGATCAACGCACAGGGCCCCTGAAAGTCGCCTCGCGAAGGGGTTGCGCTGGAGGCGGAAGTGAGCACAGAGAGGGGGGATGGTTTATGCAGATGCAGAAGCTGGAGGTTGGCGCGAGGCAAACAACGGATAGCGCCGGGGTAGAGCAAGCACTGGGGGTACCTTCAACCACCAACCGAGATAGACAACACACTTGTTATATCCCCCAAACCCGTGTAACATTGTACGAAATACGAATTTAGAGAGAGACATAGATGAGGCTGAATTGCGCTTGTCATGTGTGGGCGAAAACGCATAATGCGGTCGTGGTAATGTTCATGGTCTCATCCCAGGGTAAATTTCGGGTGCAAACGGACGACGAACCTGGGGATTTTGGATTATGCAGAGTGGATGGCTTCTGGGTGGAATTTTTTTTATGGAGACCACGGGGGACAGTGTCGTGATACGAGATGTTTATCTATTTATATGTCTGATGTTCGTTTTTCTGAGTGAAATTTTTGTGAAATTTTTTTTGGAAATACTAGGGCAGAGCGGGGTAAAATTGACAGGAAAGAAAAAAATGAACAGACGAGAGAAAAAATTTGTTCTGCAGATGAATTATACACTGTTAGCCCCGGTTGCACCAAAGTGCTGTTATCCAAATAAACCCGAGGGTAAAATTTATCCTCGGGGTCAATTATAATAATGTAATTTAATAATAATTTTTCAATATTTGACCCGCAGAATCATTTTTTATTTTTTCTGTAGCTCCTTTTGAATTAACGCTGATTTAACCTTGGGATTGACTTTTATTTTTTGTTCCTGGGATCAATTTGAGATGCTCTCCCAGGTAAAATAATCCATCGAACATCCAAATTTACTTTTTTTCTTATCTCACGTTGTCGTTACCCCGAGCTGGTGCAACGGGGCCGTAGAAAA